GAAAGAGCTTCCTTTTTCTACATCCATCCCCCACAAAGACGGTAGACAAAGTCGTTATGGAAAATTTATTGGTCAACAGAAATAGGACAAAAGTCACATGGTTGTAATCAGGCATGCAGATGGTAATAATTGTTCTACAAGTCAGAGGGCAAAGAAACCTAGACCACAAGAAATGAGAGAAAAAGAAACATGACAAGTTCTTGTGTTTCACCGTGTTTGCAAATTGCAAGCGCATCCAAACTTAGTAACCTGAGAAATACAACTCTTAGAAGGTTATCTGAAATAAACGTTGTGCAATGAATGAGTATAAGTCATTTAGAAGACAAATTATGTATCAGAGTTTACTCTCATTGATCAAGGAAGAAGATTATATCTATCAAGACAATCCACCACTTGCATATATAATTATATATCTCACGATGAATAATATTCTATAGGTCTTATTTCTTTTATTTTTGTCTTAAGGTAGACAAAGTCCTTGTGGAAAGATTTATAAGTCAGTCAAGAGATATACGACAAAAATGATGGCCCATCCCCAATATAATTCCAACTTCATCCCAAAAGAAAAGTCACAAGAGTTCTAGGAAAAAATAAAAAATAGTCATGAGAGACTTATGGCTAGTTTCGAGTTGATGTGTTGTGAAAAAAAAAAAAAAAAAAAAAAGCGCTTAGCCTTAATTCTGTTAATGGTTTACATTATTGGTTGATAGAGAATCAAAGCAAATTTACCGATGAATTGCAATTTCAAAAAGAAAATCTGAAGAATAAAAAAACGAAATACAACGAAAAGAATGAAGCGTAAACATAATCAACAATTAAATTTAAATTTATAGTTCATGGGATTATGGTGACAATCAACGAGCATTTGTAAATTTTTTTTTTTGAGTTTTAACGAAAAACCCACGATATTGATCACTTTAATGAAAAATCACGTTTTTATACTAAAAAGTCAAACCTGAAACTATTCACTTTACCCTTTATGTCTTTCAAGTAATTCGATTCATAACTTAAAAATCACGTTATATGCTTTTCAAGTAATTTAATTCATAACAATTGACAGCTCAACATTAGTCTTGCATAATATTCTAGAGCTGATCTTATTTCTGTTTTTGTCTTAAGATTTTTATTTTTTCTTTTCCAAAGAAAGGTATAATTGGAGGAGAAGTCTTTTCTCAACCTTGAAATTTTATGAAAAGAGCTTCCTTTTTCTACATCCATCCCCCACAAAGACGGTAGACAAAGTCGTTATGGAAAATTTATCGATCAACAGAAATAGGACAAAAGTCACATGGTTGTAATCAGGCATGCAGATGGTACTAATTGTTCTACAATTCAGAGGGCAAAGAAACCCAAACCACAAGAAATGAGAGAAAAAGAAACATGACAAGTTCTTGTGTTTCACCGTGTTTGCAAATTGCAAGCGCATCCAGACTTAGTAACCTGAGAAATACAACTCTTAGAAGGTTCTCTGAAATAAACGTTGTGCAATGAATGAGTATAAGTCATTTAGAAGACAAATTATGTATCAGAGTAAACAGAGTTTACTCTCATTGGTCAAGGAAGAAGATTATATCTATCAAGACAATCCACCACTTGCATATATAATTATATATCTCATGATGAATAATATTTTATAGGTCTTATTTCTTTTATTTTTGTCTTAAGGTAGACAAAGTCCTTGTGGAAAGATTTATAAGTCAGTCAAGAGATATACGACAAAAATGATGGCCCATCCCCAATATAATTCCAACTTCATCCCAAAAGAAAAGTCACAAGAGTTCTAGGAAAAAATAAAAAATAGTCATGAGAGACTTATGGCTAGTTTCGGGTTGAAGTGTTGTGAAGAAAAAAAAAAAAAAAGAAGCGCTTAGCCTTAATTCTTTTAATGGTTTACATTATTGGTTGATAGAGAATCAAAGCAAATTTACCGATGAATTGCAATTTCAAAAAGAAAATCTGAAGAATAAAAAAAACGAAATACAACGAGAAGAATGAAGCGTAAACGTAATCAACAATTAAATTTAAATTTATAGTTCATGGGATTATGGTGACAATCAACGAGCATTTGTAATTTTTTTTTTTTGAGTTTTAACGAAAAACCCACGATATTGATCACTTTAACGAAAAATCACGTTTTTATACTAAAAAGTCAAACATGAAACTATTCACTTTACCCTTTATGCCTTTCAAGTAATTCGATTCATAACTTAAAAATCACGTTATATGCTTTTCAAGTAATTTAATTCATAACAATTGATAGCTCAACATTAGTCTTGCATAATATTCTAGAGCTGATCTTATTTCTGTTTTTGTCTTAAGATTTTTATTTTTTCTTTTCCAAAGAAAGGTATAATTGGAGGAGAAGTCTTTTCTCAACCTTGGAATTTTATGAAAAGAGCTTCTTTTTTCTACATCCATCCCCCACAAAGACAGTAGACAAAGTCGTTATGGAAAATTTATCAGTCAACAAAAATAGGACAAAAGTCACATGGTTGTAATCAGGCATGCAGATGGTACTAATTGTTCTACAATTCAGATGGCAAAGAAACCCAAACCACAAGAAATGAGAGAAAAAGAAACATGACAAGTTCTTGTGTTTCACCGTGTTTGCAAATTGCAAGCGCATCCAGACTTAGTAACCTGAGAAATACAACTCTTAGAAGGCTCTCTGAAATAAACGTTGTGCAATGAATGAGTATAAGTCATTTAGAAGACAAATTATGTATCAGAGTTTACTCTCATTGATCAAGGAAGAAGATTATATCTATCAAGACAATCCACCACTTGCATATATAATTATATATCTCACGATGAATAATATTCTATAGGTCTTATTTCTTTTATTTTTGTCTTAAGGTAGACAAAGTCCTTGTGGAAAGATTTATAAGTCAGTCAAGAGATATACGACAAAAATGATGGCCCATCCCCAATATAATTCCAACTTCATCCCAAAAGAAAAGTCACAAGAGTTCTAGGAAAAAATAAAAAATAGTCATGAGAGACTTATGGCTAGTTTCGGGTTGATGTGTTGTGAAAAAAAAAAAAAAAAAAAAAAGCGCTTAGCCTTAATTCTGTTAATGGTTTACATTATTGGTTGATAGAGAATCAAAGCAAATTTACCGATGAATTGCAATTTCAAAAAGAAAATCTGAAGAATAAAAAAACGAAATACAACGAGAAGAATGAAGCGTAAACGTAATCAACAATTAAATTTAAATTTATAGTTTATGGGATTATGGTGACAATCAACGAGCATTTGTAAACTTTTTTTTTTTTGAGTTTTAACGAAAAACCCACGATATTGATCACTTTAACGAAAAATCACGTTTTTATACTAAAAAGTCAAACCCGAAACTATTCACTTTACCCTTTATGCCTTTCAAGTATTCGATTCATAACTTAAAAATCACGTTATATGCTTTTCAAGTAATTTAATTCATAACAATTGACAGCTCAACATTAGTCTTGCATAATATTCTAGAGCTGATCTTATTTCTGTTTTTGTCTTAAGATTTTTATTTTTTCTTTTCCCAAGAAAGGTATAATTGGAGGAGAAGTCTTTTCTCAACCTTGGAATTTTATGAAAAGAGCTTCCTTTTTCTACACCCATCCCCCACAAAGACGGTAGACAAAGTTGTTATGGAAAATTTATCGGTCAACAGAAATAGGACAAAAGTCACATGGTTGTAATCATGCATGCAGATGGTACTAATTGTTCTACAATTCAGAGGGCAAAGAAACCCAAACCACAAGAAATGAGAGAAAAAGAAACATGACAAGTTCTTGTGTTTCACCATGTTTGCAAATTGCAAGCGCATCCAGACTTAGTAACCTGAGAAATACAACTCTTAGAAGGTTCTCTGAAATAAACGTTGTGCAATGAATGAGTATAAGTCATTTAGAAGACAAATTATGTATCAGAGTAAACAGAGTTTACTCTCATTGGTCAAGGAAGAAGACTATATCCATCAAGACAATCCACCACTTGCATATACAATTATATATCTCACAATGAATAATATTCTACAGGCCTTATTTCTTTTATTTTTGTCTTAAGATGGTTTTTTTTTTTTTTTTTTTTTTTTTTACCGGTGAAAAGTATAATTGGAGGAGATTTTGCTCAACCTGTGAAATTTATGAAAAGAGCTTGATTCTTCTACATCCAGCCCCATAATGATGGTAGACAAAGTCCTTGCGGAAACATTTATAAGTCAGTCAAGAGATATATGACAAAAATGATGTCCCATCCCCAATATAATTCCAACTTCATCCCAAAAGAAAAGTCACAAGAGTTCTAGGAAAAAATAAAAAATATTCATGAGAGACTTAAGGCTAGTTTCGGGTTGATGTGTTGTGAAAAAAAAAAAAAAAAAGCATTTAGCCTTAATTCTGTTAATGGTTTACATTATTGGTTGATAGAGAATCAAAGCAAATTTACCGATGAATTGCAATTTCAAAAAGAAAATCTGAAGAAAAAAAAAATGAAATACAACAAGAAGAATGAGCATTTGTAAATTTAAATTTATAGTTTATGGGATTATGGTGACAATCAACGAGCATTTGTAAATTTTTTTTTTTGGAGTTTTAACGAAAAACCCACGATATTGATCACTTTAACGAAAAATCACGTTTTTATACTAAAAAGTGAAACCTGAAACTATTCACTTTACCCTTTATTTTGTTTTTATCGTTAAAACTCAAAATTTTTAAACTTTTTTCTTTAATTTTCTTTTTTTTTTCCTTCTATATTTTCATGCTTCTACATTAATTAAAAAAATTACTCCAACAACGACCACATAAGTGAATAAAATCCTTACTGTTGGATTCTTTTATCTTACTTACATTTTTAGTATTACACTAGAAATATAGCTCGCGCGTTACTGCGGGATTAGAAACCGTATGATAAAAATATGTTTCGAAGCTATAAGAGATTGTTAAAGAAGGTTAATGTTATTTACAGATATTTGAGCTTTTTGAAAGAATTTTTACATGTGCAGAAATTGGGTGAATGAAGCTCTTGAAATTCTTTAAACCATTATGAATAGCATGACCTGTGAGTGATTGATAGTGTAACAAAAATTAGTAAAAGAGTGAAAGAATATTATACATGAAACTATATTATTGGAACCACTTAATGGAAAGTTGTAGAGCTATGGTATACTCGGCTATAGTTTCAAAACCAACGAAAGAATGCAAGACATAATATATACACAGAAAAGTATAAACTAATAAGTTTGAAAGATACGAACGATTGAGCATGCAGAAAACGTGGAGAGCGATTGAGAAAAGGGAGCACCAATGCATATAACATGCACCAAATAACATGCGCCAATTTTGCGTAGTAGTGTTGTGCTACTCTCTCCATTTTCTTATTTTTGACCCAACAAACAATATCTGCATTTAAATGCATAATGTTTTTCTTTTTTTTTTTAATAAAAAAAATTTCAGTAAGCCCATATCAATTCCAGAACATTTTAAAAACCGCAATTAGGCATAATCAAAGATGGACCATTTCATCAGCATATGCGAAGGGTCTCAAAACATACCAAGAAAAGATGGACTATTTAACTTATTCCCAACTTCATCAAAACAACCAAGAAGTATAAAATAGCAAGGTTAATTCTCACTTTCTTTAATCAAAATGAATTCTACTTCTTCCCATCTATTTGCACATCCCTTCAACACTCTCAATTGATATTAAAACAGAAAACAAATTGTGGCAAGAAAGAAGCGAGAGGAAACATCGAGAAGGGAAGCCGAACAGTGAACAACCTGTGTAATTTTGTGGAAGATTGGCAAAGAGATCCTATAGAGATGGGAGAAAATGACACTGAAATAGGAATCCCAATCCAAATATCATCCCAGAAACAAAACCTCCCCCTTTCCAACTGTGAAAGGAAGATTACAAAAGATCATGGAAAGGACCTGAGCTTGTCTTTCCATGGGTATCCCCATGACCCCCTAATAAACTCGAATAAGTCACGTCGTGCAACATGTATTTACTCCATAGTCCATACAACAAAATTCCACATAGAACTAGTTCCCAAGAGTAGCGAAGAAATTATCAATGTTATTTAGTTATACATTTTCATATATACTAAAGCAATATTACCCTCACCAGTCATTTCCAAGTCAATCCATACCAGTGGCATTTTGTACTCTTCGGTATCTCTGTAATTTGCTTACTCTGCTTCTCATTTACGAGTGACATGTTATCAGAGTCATTGACTTTTTTCTTGCTATTGCCTACCTCAAAAGATGCATAATCAGAACTAAGATACTCATATTTTTCAATCCGCACTCATATTTTTCAATCCGCATACAGGGATTATCAACAAATATTCACCTAAGTAAATCATTTATTATGGTTATTAGTTATTATATATGCCCAATGCCTAGTCTATCATGAATGTGGCTTAAATTTTGAGAAAAAATAGGCTAAGAAATAAGTTTTTTTTTTGTTTATAAATAAAAATTTATACTTCAGCTTCATCAAAATTGCAGGATCCATTCAAACAGTACGAACTTTTTTAGAGAAATATTAAGAAAAATAACCTAAAATGGTAGTTCATAGATTCAGTTGAGTTGTAAATGTTAGTATACAACATCCGAATATATTGGAAAGATAAAAGTAAATAGTAATCAACAAAATTTTCCTAGTAGAACTTAGACCTGGAAATTGTCGAAACCAGCTCAATTTACAGGAATCAAACAGAGGATAAGAGAAAATTGGTCCGAGAAAATACCATGGTTGCGGATGAGCTGACGACGACAAAAGGGAGAGACAGCGGCGAAGGAATTAGGAATAAAGGGGTATCTCTGAACTCTGAGGAAACAAAAGCCCAAAGCGCTGACTGAAAACAAATTCTGTCCCAAAGCTCCTCAAAACACAATCCATCGTAAGCTTAAAAACTCTCCTGTTTAGGCAACCCCCATCACCCTGGCCTTCTTGCCCTTGCACGCCAAATAATGATATTCACTACGAAGAGATAAGCAGTCCCAAGGAATTATCCAGATAAGCAGTCACTAAGAGCCAGTTGATAATTATGAATCTAGAGTGTCCACAATTTAGTATGTAAAACAATTAGGAAAAACTTCTTGCATCAAAATTTTAACAAGGTTTACAAAAATTATTTCACTCCACCCCAATTTTGAAAAGAAATCTGTGGAAATTTAACTTAAAACTTATGGCGATAGCCCTTAAGTGAGTTACTCTTGAGATTTGAACAAGCAGCATTCAAATGCTTAAGAGCAAAGGGACAGTCCTAGTCCAGTCCTTCAACTATCTTCCTCCACTTTCCCAGAAAACTAAACTATATAAATTAAAACTATTAAATTAGCATACGTACTTCTCCACATTAGCTATAAAACAGATGATAGGTGGTATTCCACTTAGCTTCTCATGTTGTATTGTCTTCCCAAATTAGAAGAGTATATGAAGCTACACCTCATACGTAATCACGCGTAATATGTATTCCACATACATAGTCACGCCTCAGGGCCACATACTGGTCAACAACTCAACTTCATGCCTAACACCAGGTGATCTAAAGTAAATAGAGTAAACTTTCTTCATATTTGTAATATATTACAGGTGTATGCTTGCAATTAAGGACAAATTTGTCCAAATACAGCTATTTATATACTTAAATGCTTGCAGTATATTAATGTGATGTGCTTGCATGTAAGTTTTATGCATTTGTGTATGATTGTATGGATGCACTTAAAGTTGCACACTTGCAACATGGATGTAACAATGCAAATCCCAACGCCATGTAGCCCACTAAGTAACCAAGTTGCAGAGAAGCAACAAAGTACCCCTAACATACCACATACAAAGCATTGAAGGCTCCTGTATCCGTACCATAACTAGAAAAGTACCATAGTCCTTATTTCATCTATTCAAGTGCTCCTTCCAATTATTTACATTCCGTTATGCTAGTCATCACATAGATCCATTTAAGGGAACAATTCTTATTCACACAAATTTATATGCATTCTAACTACAGTAAAGACTTTTGTAAAGCAGCCTCAAATTATGTTTTTTGGAATAAATTGAGTGTGAGATAGAGGGTGTATGTTTATTTCATCTGGAAAACCTATAAAACAACCTAAAGAAAAGTAGAGACAGATCAAAGAGACAACCTAATATGTAAGAGTAATTTTGCTATATTGATGTCAGGTAAAATGAGTACGGGCGCAAAGAAATACCAAATCAATTCATCTGGAAAATCCGCAACAGCCAGGAAAAAAAAAATTGAAGTAGAGGCAGTAAAGGAGAAAACCAAAATTTATGTAGATTAATGTCCCTTTGTTGGTATCAGGTAAAATGAGTAAAAGTATATGTAAAATACTAAAGAAACTACATACTGTTTAGCACGTTTTGCATCTGTCTCAGATGCATAAGGCTTAGCATTGGAATTGTCCTTTCTCTCAGAAGAAGCCTTTGGATCATGAAGACCAGAATCAAAATGATCCTGCTTTTCACTCACTGTAGAGGCAATCCCATCAGCTTCTTGTGGTGTAGATAATGATCTTGAACTCTGAAGAATAATGTTATCCCTGGCAGAAGGAAGGCCCCCCAGGTTATTTACACTATTCAAAGAAGACTCCCATGCTTTATTCTTCTGCTTCACCAAGTTCAGTTCTGTGTATAATGAAGCATGTCGTAAATCTTTTCGAGGATCAAAGTCTTGAGATCCCCAAGAGGGTGCAGAAATCATATTATGATATTTGTACTCGTCTTGAGTGGCATAATCAAGGTTGGAAGCATTAATTGCATCCACATATGCAAAAGAGTCACTTGATGAACGACGATGACCTCCTCTGCGTATAGGTGTGTCTGGCTCATTAAGGAGATCATCAAGCCAAGAAGGTTGTTCCTCTATAAGTAGGCTCTCTGAGGAAGTCCTCTGGTGATGTGCATTTCCCTCTCTAGGCTTCTGAACAATTTTTGATCCAATTGCAGGACTAAAGACATAATCTGCATATGATGGGGCAACACTAGGAAATGGACTTTTAGGAGGAAGTAAAGGATGCTTTCCGGAATACATAAAATTTCTGATATTTGATGTACTCTTGGAGTTTGCCATTGCTGAAGCACAAACCAGTCCCTGTCAAACGATATAGTGTAAGATGACAGAGGCAGAAAAGGTATACAACATGGAAAACAAATGTATAACTAAGGCACAGTGTTGACAAGCCAATTGATAAATATGTCACCATCAACAAAGGAAAATAGGAAAAGAAAAACATGGGATAAAGTCAATAACTTGCCACTAAACAATTGAAAACAGAAACAAGACATAATAACTATAACTCTGCTATTAATATCCTTCTCCATGTTGACATGAATACACACCTACATCAATGGGCAAAACACGTCTACTGGAAACTTCAAAATTATCAATACGATTCATAAGGCATACGAGTTTGAAACCCAAACATACACAAGCTTAAAACACAGATATGCCAGCATAGAAATACATTCAAATGGACAACACTACAACTACCCAACTTTCTGAGCAGTATGGTGATCACGAAGAAACCATTTTCATCGCTATAATAACATCGAAACCCAAATTAACACAAAACTAAAGCTTCCATCCAACTGGGTTTTCTGGTTTCTCCCCATTAAATACCACCACGTACGGTTACACTCTAAATGAATCGGAGGGCCCAACCACAAGGCTAACTGTGTTAATGAAAAGCCAAAAATTCCCAATCACGGACGCTACTGACTCAAACCATCAAATTTGTTCCTGAAGAAAACATGGAAAGAAAAGATAAAAGATGGAAACTTTTGAATTGAATAGAATCTCCTAAACAAATGAGGTCCTAATCACAGTTGGTTGAGGTGAGGGATTCGGTTTTCTCAGCCCCAAACAACAAAAATCTTCAGAGATTCAAACCTGCAAAGCTCATTTCACTTTCCCACATTTTCTCATCAGCCAAACAGACAACGAATCTCACAATTTCCGAAATGAAAAATCACAGATAGAGCCCTCAAAAATCATCATTTGCAACGAAAAGATAATCATCAAGTGATTTATTGGACGAAATGCTGAGAATGTGTGCGATTATCAGCAAAATTAATCACAAAAAGCTGCTGATTTGACGAAACACAGAAACGGAGATACACGCGCACGAAGCTAAAAATGCTTCCTTATGCTTCGAGAAAATACACACACAAATATATATATATATATATGTGTGTGTGTGTGTATTGATTACCTGTAGTGAACGAACAATCGAGATCTTGAAACGCAATGATCGAAGAATCAGAGATGTTTATCTGTCCTAGGGTTTCTGAGATATCAATGATTTAATACCCCTCTTCTCTTAGGAGAAGAAGCTCTCTCTCTCTCTCAATCTCTCTCTCCTCTCTCTCTCTCTCTCTCTCTCTCTCTCTCTCTCTCTCTACTATTTCTTCTGGTTAATGTCTGGGGTTTGGATTGAAATTATATTTTGTTTTGTCCCTTTTAATTTAATTTATTATTTAAATGTTTTTGGTAAAATTTAATTGTCAACTTTGTATCTTTTGGATGCACAGCCTTGCAAGTTGCAAGTGGCGCCTTTTTATTCTCCCTTTCCAGTTCATTTTTGCCTACCTAAAATCCTATTCTGGGATTAAAGATGGTCAACAAAGTTGAAACCACAGAGAAAATTTACATTTCATAACCGAGTTTTTTGTTTTTGAGGTTTTTTTTTTTATTTCATAACCGAGTTTTTTGTTTTTGAGGTATTTTTTTTTTATTTCATAACCGAGTTTTTTGTTTTTGAGGTATTTTTTTTTTATTTCTATAATTATTAATAATGTGCGGATTTAGTCCTTAAATCGTTACAGTTATTACTTAGTGTGATTCTTTTTAGAATAATGTGTTGATTTAGTCTCTGAATTATTAATTCAACTTTTAAACTATTTTTTTTCTTCAGAAAAGTAAGCCCTTTAACTCATTAAATTTGCCAATTGCATTTCTACTATAAGACTCAAAGCTATTTCATTCAAATTTTTGTCGAGTCACGTAACTTACATGTAATACATTTTAAAGTATACATTAATAGTTTTAATGCGTTTAAGAACTTATTTTCTTGAAAAAATAATGTATAGAGTTAAATTTGGAGGGTATGTCGGCAATTTGATTCGTAATATATATGCAATATTAATTGCTTATTGACAAGATAATAACAGTATTACTCCATAAAGTGTGTCATCTATAAGTAACATGGCTTAAATTGATGAAACATTGGATAGACTAGCTTTGAATCTTATAGTAGGGATGAAATTGTCAGTTTTAATGATTTTAAGGACTAATTTAGAAACTTAACTTTCACATAAGTACTAACTTAGGAACTAAATCAAAATGTCAGTTCACAATTTTAGGTGTAGAAAACCTAGAGACCGAGATCATCTTGTTCCCTTGGTTATTTTTTCATCAGAAATCTAAGGGTTACGACATATTTTACTATAGTCTTAAACAAAATGGGTGAATTTTTATCGACTTTTAATAATCAATTCGATTTTTAGTTTTTAGGTTTTGGTTTTCCTTTTTTTTTATTTAAAAAAATATAATTATAAAATAGTTACCAAACAACCATTTAGATTTATAAACGAACATTTGGATTAAAAGTAAGTATACAAGAGAACTCAATTTCAACACATACTTCGATATTCCCAAAACGAGTTTGACTCTCTTTTTATTTTGTGAAAAGAATTGAAGTGATAATAATATTCTCTTCAATCAATAATTTAGATTATTATAAACCCTAATTCCCGAACCAACAATAATCTAACCCCAATTTAGAATGTTAATAGTATTAGTAGGGCCATTTTAACTTTTCTTTGTGGAGTTATGCAACTTTTTTGCACACAAGCATTTCCTTTGGTTTTATTTTCTTATTACAAACGCAAAGTATAAATGAACAATGTGGAGTGAGTTGTTGACAACGACATTTATTATCTCAACATAATTAATTAGTTAATCAATTAATTAATTAATTAATTTAATTAATAGGGTATTGACAAATAGGAAGAGTGAGAGGAGGAGTCGGCACTTAAAAAGTGCATGATGGGAGACAGCCAATTCCTCATCAATAAAGTCAGCAACAAGATAACAAATTCGGTACAATATAAATCAAACATGTCCACATTTATTCAACCTAATTTGGAAAGAACTTGGCTGCTGAAGTCCTACTTACAACCAATCCAGGATGGACACGTGTTCAAGTTTTGATTAAAAAAATTCAAATTTGAACACGTGTCCATCCCGGATTGGTTGTAAGCAGGATCGGCTTTTGAATCGCAATCCCAAACCCTAAACAGTTGGATTGTCAAAATTCACTGTAGATTGAACCCCAGAAGGTGCCTCTTTTTGGGATCCCTATGTATACACGCATACAAATGATATTGAGCAAGGTAAGTTTTGAACTCAAAACATCGACTGCAGAGAGTATGCTCTTAAACAATAACAAAGAGCACCAAGCACGACCTAATTACGCCAAACTCACAAATCGTAAGGAAACCATCACCGAAATGACGTTAATTTTGAGCCAAGAAAACTCATTCATCTGTTTAACATATACAACACTATACTAACCTACATGCCGTGTAATTCGAAATGAATCTGGCAGCATACGAAGTCATGTATCAAGCAGCTTCTTCCACCTGGCATACCCGAATATGAGAAAGAAGAGTAACACGGAAAATGCCGTAATACCCCCAACAAAGGGCTCAAATATCCCTTTCTTGGTGTATAATATACAGGGGATGTTCATACCAAATATACCAGATATCAAGGTCTCCACTGCTATCGCAAATGATGCAATGGTCAATGTCAACTGGAGCTGAATGAGTTCGTTTCGTTGGTTATCAAGTTGTATGTTGACATAATCCTCCGTGTCATCAATATACTCCCGCACCTACATCCAATGAACACAACACGAACATGAGCAGTATTCAAGGACGGATTAACACAATAACCAATCATGCTTAACATGCACAACTAACTGGTTTCTAAATTACAATTCTTATATACCAATGACAGTGAAATTAGTTCCAACTGGGAACCCACAAGAGGTCCAAAGCCTCCAAAGTATTCCAGGAGCAAGTGCAACCACAGAACTCTTACAGAAAATATGCAACATTTAAGAAACCTAACCTAAAATTCATTATCTGGAACTGAATCAAAGTTGATGCAACTGCATTAAAACACAAGCTAACGGTGACAAATGATATTTAATATTGTTTTGTAAAACGTTAAGTTCTCCAGGACGAGATCCTTTAAGAAGCATTTGTGTAAACTGAACTTAATAGTCAAGTTCTATAGTATAAAGTTGTTATAGTAGGTCATAACAATTAGCACTCACAGATAATATTTTGTTACGGGTTCCATCCAGTTGCATAAAATATGCCTCAAGCAGCATCTCTAGATCTTCTACGTCATCGTAATCCATATTGTTACTGTTTACCAAGCTCCCACTTCTGTTAGAACTAAGCCGACGTAAATAGGGTGCGGATATGCTATTTGAAGCAGAACGCCCCAACAAAGCCTCAGGCTGTTGATTCTGCATCCATTTCCTTGTTAAATATAAATGTGCCATATCTTCATTGTCATCCAACAAATGTTCGAGTTCATCCCTCACCTGAAATCAGACAGACACACGCTTCTAACTCAAAAGGAACTACAAATATAAATATTAAATAGTGGCATACAGATAAAACATGTATGCTAAGTCCCCATTTTACAGAAACTTTTTCTAGCATATTGTCAAATAGTAAGGAGTATCCACTTCTCTTTGTACTCCTGCACAATCTAGAAACAGCTAAAGCCTCAATCCCATGCACCACACAAATTCAATCCCACGCACCATACAAATTCAATCCCACTCTGACATCTAAGTATAAAAGGATTCTATCAAGTTGCCATGAGAAATGTACATTTTTCAGCTAAACTTGACGCCTCTTCCCTCGCAACAGTCATATAAAGTAAGTTATATGGATGTTGGTTTTGCCACCCCATCAAGTAGAAACAATTTCAAGAGAAGCCCCCTGTCGATCAATTTTCAACACAATAAGACCTAACTCCTGATACGATTCACTTCATATGCACTCAGTTATACAGGCTAACAATGTCAGTACTAAAACCAGAACAAGTCTAAAGGAAGCGTGGTAATAAAAATCTCATCAGAAATATCTTATTATTCACCAGAACATGAGGGCTTTCAAAAATTATTCAAACCTTCATGTCACTTACACATAGGAGGATTTAGAAAATGGAACTCTGTCATCTCAAACATCATAATTTCAATTTCCTAAACCCTTTTATATTTACTTGTGCATTAAACTTAGGCTAAGGTTTGATTTAAAGTTTGGGCCTTAGATGCCAGAAACCTTTGCTATTCTTCATATGGCATGAATGCAGGAAAGGCTATAAAAAGAACAATTGTATTACCATGTGACTTAAAATATGAAACACAGATAAACGTAACTCAACAAAACAAGAGTTGATGACAATGGCTCTCAACTACAATCAAATTATTCAGTGTGTCAAACAACCATAGCATCTAGCCCAGACAACCAACCCGATGCAACTAGGCGACCAGAAATATATGCTGAATAAATGTGAAGATGCTTTTATTAGTGAATTGAATGGCATTTTACGAGCGCACTACCATTACAAATTTCTATCTTTGATATATTGATGTATCTGTTTGTTTCAGTTCCTAATTCATGAAACATTCTTGAAGCAGATTCTGTCGAGACACTTAATTGGGGTTTATTTATGTCAATCTGGGATTTACTGCTTTATATTCATGGGTGATAGTGTTATATTATTTAAGGCGCCAGCGGCTCCAAAAACCTTTTTCAGTTTTCAAAACAAATTGAAATATCACAAAAACTATGAATTGACAAACATTTTAACTCCAGGTTGCGTCAGGTTATTAATTCCCGACATAATTGAAATTAGACATGCAGCATAGCAAATCATCTGAAAAAATATAACAAAGAAAATAATGACAAATGATATCCCTCAAGAAGAAGGGTTAAGCAAACATACCTTCTGTACACGTGCAAGCAAACGCGTAAGAATGCTTTTCAAACTCCTCACAAGTTCAAGGTTTTTGGTGCTAACATTTCTAGCCAGTTCATCTAAAACAGGGTAGGCTTCTCTCTCAAGGTCTGCCACACTAGAATTCAAGTATGTACAGACAACTTCTAATGCAATCTCCAGAACCTGAAACTCAAATGGAAGATCACACTGCACACCTTCAACGGCTTCAGGAACAGGTAACCATTGCTTTCCGCCTGAAACAATCATTCCACTAGCTAGTTCATCAAGTGGACTTGCTTCTTCTATCCTGGATTGCCTTTTCTGAGGAAGTTGTTGCCTTAGCTGATCCGCAAACGGAAGAACCTCCTGCCGAAGAGGATCAAGCAACAAAACCTCTTCAGCTGTAACTATAGCCTTTATAAACTCTAAATTAACCACCATGGCCTTCTCCCTAGCTGCAATTGAAATGAGAAAACATATTTCCATTGGTCATCATGATCTGCTATGGCTACACAATTAAAAAAAACCAGCAAATAAGGTAACCCTAACCCTAACCCTAATGAGAATTCACATATAAGATAAAAAAGGGGAGGAGGAGGAGGAGTACCAAGGATGCTGGAGGAATGGGAGAAGACAGGGCCGAGAATCCTCAAGTCCCGGGCGGGAATGGCGGCGCGTCGAATAATAGCATTCTTGTCACACTCGACGAGCTCTGATCCGCCAAAGCGGTCAAACCGCATCCAAAGCCTGGCTCCTCCGGCCTTCTTCTTCCCCTTCACGCCACCGCCGCCAGCAACAACCGCGTTCAGATTATTATTATTGTTGTTGTTGGTATTGGTACTGTTGATATGGACATTGGAGGGGGGAGGAGATCGAAACGGCTGCGGCGGCGAGGGAAAAGGGGAAGGGGGAGGGCCAATGAACTTCTTGGGGGGCCGGCGGCGGATGCTGCTGCTGCGCTTGAAAGAGAACGGACCCTTCCCCATTTTTGCTTCTCTTTCTCTTCCCGTTCCGTGTGTGTATTTAAGCGAGTCATGGATCTTTCTCTTCCCCTTCTTCTCTCCTGCACCGACTCCGACTCCGACTCCGACTCCGAATCCGCCTCCTCATCATCCCCAGCCGCTTTACTTCTTTCACGTTCTCTCTCTCTCTCTCAACTCCCAAACACACTTTATTTGATTTTTAATTGTTTTTATATATAATAAGGAACGCGAAAATTTTATTGGCACCGGATGCCACCGACACCTTTTGTGTGCCGTGGCGGCCAGGTAAAGTAAGAAGATGTATTCAATAGGGTAACAGTATGTTTGAACGAAGAAAATAAACATAGAATTTTGGTAAAAGTTAAAATTTATAAATTAATAGGCATAAATTTTCTTGTTTGAATTTATAAACATAGAAATTTAGAATTTCCACATGAAAAAAAAACTTGAAATTTGGTACCTCCAAATCCCAAGTTCAAATTCTATGTAAATAGGTGTCATTTCTCAATTTCTATGATTGAGAGTTTAAAAATAACAAATTCCATGTTCAATTTCATTGTTCTTTTAGGTTAACCAAATAAGAAAATTTACAAATTCTAGAAAATAAAATCTCGTCATTTCAATTTCCGTCATTTTTAAATTCCTTAGTAATGTTAAATTTCTTCACCCAAACATTTACAAATTCCTTAGAATCATTTTTAAGTGGTTCTCTAAAATTCAAGGTGTATTCATTTAGGATTCTAAAGAAGCTTATAATATTCCATGTGTATTTAATTAGAAATTGATTTTAAAGAATTTGAGAAAGTTGAGAAATTAGAAGGAATTAGAGAGATTTCGTAGTTTATTTTAAGCATCCACAAATCAACTCTCCCCATTACGGAATTGAATCAAAATTTTATTTAGAATCTCTACAAATCAATTAAACTCCATAAAAATCCATTAAAATCTCTCAATTGAATACACCCCCTAAGTGTTATAATACAAATGATTGAAAATTTAAAAATAAATAAACAATTGTATCAGGAAATTTGGAGTATCGGGCCATGTTTTCGATAGCGAGTGTAGCGTGTAATGTAAGTTGTAATCATAGTTAAACTCATCTAACTTAAGAATATATACACACAATCCCTTTAAGGGAAGGAATTTCTATTTTTATTTTTTAAATTGAGATTAGTTATGCTACGCACTTCACATCGAACTTCAACTCTATAAATATAGTTTCTCATGACCGTATCTGAAATTTCATATTTATAAAGCAAATCTTACAATTTTATTCAGGAAAAGAAAAAAAAACCAAAGAAAAGACAAAATAAATTGGCACAAAGACTGTATAGCAGAAAAGTAGAAACAAACCACACAAAGGCCTCTAACGGCTAAAAAATAGTTAATAACATTCAACAATTGCAGCATAGAGCTTCTTCACAATGCGATTTTGGAACCGAGAAAATGCATTGCTCCATGGCACATTAGACAACAATGAACCAAGAACAATCCAAAACCCGAATGCAAATCCAAGCCCCAAGCTCAAATAGAACCCACCGTCTTCAAGTAAATAACCTTCTACGTGCTTGTCATCACCTACCGGTGGCATGGCCTCATTTACACTGCAACGCTCTTTCAATGGAGGTCCGCATAGTTTGTTGCCAACATAACTAGACTGATCAAAGCTCTGAAGCTAAGTGCTTATCGGAATCCGCCCTATCAGCTTGTTATAAGACAAATTCAGATAACTGAGAAATGTCAAGTTCGATATGCTTGGAGAAATTTCGCCAGAAAGTTGGTTCACAGACAAATCAAGTGACTCGAACATTTTCATATCACCGATTTTGGAAGGGATTCTTCCTATTAGAAGATTATTGGATAAATTCAATGTTTGCAAGATAATGAGGCTGGTCAGCTCTTCAGGGATTTCTCCAGATATCATGTTGCTTGAAAGGTCCAAGCTAGTTACCAAACGAAGCACTGTGTCATATTTCACTTCTCTGCCTTTGGTCACAAAATCCGCTTTCTCTAAGTAGGCGTTACCAATCATAGAAGAACTAGAATCGGAATCTGCAATACTGGTATCTTCTTCGCTTGGAAAGGTAGTGGCCATGGATGAAAAATTTTGGAAGCATCTTGGTATCGTTCCCGAGAGATTGTTATAAGCAAGGTCCAAGATTTGGAGATTTGTGAGACTACAGAGTTCATCTGGAATGAAACCATGGAACTGATTTGAACGAAGACTAAGAACTTCCAAGCTTGGGCCAAAACATATTGGAATGCCTCCAGCAAACTTGTTTCCATCAAGGTCAAGAAGAAACAAGTGCTCACAATTTTGTAGGGACACGGGTAATTCTCCAGATAGGCTATTATTGCGCAAGTACAATGATCGAAGGAAAAGTAACTCTCCAATAGAGCTTGGAATTTTCCCTGTCAAATTGTTGTCTTCTAAATTCACAGTTGTCAAGTTTGGCCAGTATGACAGACAATCAGGAATTTCTCCATCGAGGAGATTGTTTTCAAGATGAAGAACTTGAAGGGTTTTAGGTACATCACTCCTATCACAAAAGAAGTGAGAGAGAGTGCCCGAAAATAATGAATTGGAAAGATCTAGAACAGACACTGCCGAAGACACAAGAGGCAATGAACCGTTGAAATGGTTCGATCTTAAGTCAATTACAAAATTTGAACCCATATAGAAAGAATCGGAATCCTGTTTTGGTTTTGGCCGGTTGGCAGAAACTATGTTTGGAACCTCCCCGGACAATTGATTACTCGAGAGATCCACATACTTTTCTACATCATGTAAAAAGATGTTCCAAAACCAAGTCGGAATGGTACCTGAAATTCCTGTATTGGACATGTTAATAGCAGACAACTGATTTTGACTTTGAAGCCATGTAGGCAACTCTGATGGGTCCAGATGCCAAGAACCTAAACTCAAGATAGAAAGTTGAAAAGGAGGAACCCAGTCATAGTTGGTTTTAAGAGTCAAGGAGTTATCATCTGCAGTAAACATTTTCAATCTTGTAAGATTAGTAAAATGAGCTTCAGAGACAACACCCTCGAATGAATTATGATCAATGCTCAAGTATTGCAAGAGTGATAGATTTCCTAAGGACATCGGAATGAGACCTGATATAGAATTATACGAAAGATAAAGAGAACTTAAATTTTTAAAAATTCCTAGCATACCAAATAAATGACCTGAAAAATTATTACTCGAAAAATCTAAATAATCTATTTGATCAAAACTACACCGAGACAAACTTTCTAAGATTTCTGATACCCTCCCCCTAAAATTATTCATCCTTAGATCAACAGAAGTCAACCTACAAAGATTTCCCAAGGAGTTTGAGATTTCCCCTTCAAGCTCATTCCCACTTAATTGAAGATCAACAAGGGCTGTCAAGTTTCCAAGGGAACTCGAAATTTCACCATGGAAAGCATTGGAAGAAAGATTGAGGGACTCAAGATTGCCCAAACTGTACAACCATGTAGGTATGGTAGAGTTGACATCATTGGCAGCAAGATCAAGAACTTTAAGATTTGTCAAGTTCGCAATACCACTTGGCATGTGATGAAGTTCGCATTGAGGAAAATGCAACTCTGCCAGCAGAGAAGGGAGTGTGTTTACTTGTAACCAACGAGATGCGTTGGTAAGATTTAATCCAGTCATGTCAAGATGTTTCAACAGAGAAAGACCAGAGAGCCATTCAAAATTCTCGACCATCAAATCAAAGTTGTAAGAAAGATCGAGATAACGTAGACTTGAAAGATTTCCCAACTGATGAGGAATGGTTCCGTTGAACCCTGCTTCCGAGAGATCAAGATATCTTAAACGTTTAAGAGAACCCAAAAAGCTGGGAATCTGCAGTCCTTCAAAATTGTTGAAGCTTAAGTCCAAGTGGCTGAGATGCTTTAAATTCAGTAGAGAAGGATTTACCTTGCCACCCAGCCCACGGTACTCACCATTCACTTCATCATGATAACCAGCAAGGTGGAGCTCACGGACATGACCGGTTAAATTACTGCAGGCAACACCGGTCCAGTTGCAACAATCGCCTTCACCATCCCAAGAGGAAAGCATATTTGAAGAATCATCGAGATCTTTCTTGAACATAAGAAGTGTTTGTCTCTCATTTTCTTTGCAAGGCAAATGGATCAGGTTTCCATTGCATAAGGTAAGTGTAAAAGACGCAATGGATAGAAGAAAGGTGAGTAGGTAAACAAGTCTCATGACTGTCATCGTATAGATATGGAGTAGGTGATGGATGTGAGGAATGAGTAATTTAGAGTAGTGCTATATATACACACGTTAGTAAAGAGTAAAGGTCCAACCTCGGCCCTACTCTTTCTATTTACTACAAATCATTTTTCTACATCCCTCCCGGCAAAGACGGAAGCGGGTCAAGAGATTTAAGACAGAAAGAATGGTCCATCCCCAAAACAAATTCCAGGCAGTGATGGATATGGTTCATCCCCAAAGAAACGTCAGGACCATATATAGCAATAATTGATCTACTTAAATTAGTTTTAAAAATCATTTTCCGGAAGAGAATTGAAGTATAGATTGACGAGGCCGAATGCCCTTATTTTACTCTGCTACTATTGGATATTTAATTGAGAAAATTATAATTAGATGCGTCATTGTAGACATTTAGAAGTGAGTCAAGTCATTTTTCTACATCCAGACCTACAAAGTCGTCATGGAAAAATTTAGGGGTAAATGAATTTTAATCCTTGTATTAGATTAATTTTTCATTAAAACCTGGTGTAGTATTAGTTATTTGATCTTGGTCCTCAATGTCATCATGATTACTATAACTCATATTTTGTTGTTTTTAAACTCCTTAATGGCTCTTTTTGTTCCCATTGTGCCCCTATAATTAATTATTCGACCTTCTTGGTATGTTCCACATTATTAGAAACTAATTTTGACTTTGATTAATTGATTTCTTCCATCATTTATATATAGTGCCGGGAAAGATTTTTCATATCATCATGCCTAAATTACAAGATGAAAAAAGTTAAGGCATCAAACGTATAACACACCAACAAAGTGTGTGTATCTAAATATTAGTACCTAGTTGAAAAAAACCTAATCATAGTATCTAGT